CTAACGTTTGTCTGGAGAATTTTTCTCAAAACTCATGTGCGCTAGCTCACACCTAACATTCACAACGACCCTGGAGGCGGTGTCTCGTCATACCGGGCACAAGGACAGGAGGCTTCCCCAAAGTCCCCAAGCTGCCAGGGGTGGAGACAGAATTCATATTCAGGCAGGCTGGCCCCTATGTAGTTTCCTCAAACAACTCTTGTTTTTTTGCCTCTCAGCAAAATCACAATGGGGCTGGAAATCCAGCAATAAAACAGACAGCATTTGCTGAGCCCCTGCAATGCGCCTGCCTGGCTTTGCATATCAGAAAAGAAAGTTTCTGGTTTCTAGTAATAGCAAACCTGACCCGCCGAGCAAATATGATTGTTTTGTTCTTTTTCCTAACAGAGTGAGTCCCAAGGCAGGTGGCTGCTGGCAGGGCTTCAGAGGCTCACACACAGAGTGGCGTCTCTGCATCTGCCTTGGCTTTTTGACTGTTTGCTGCTTCATAGTCACAAGGCAGCTGCTGTAGCTCCAGATAGCATGCTCACATTCCAGGCAGGAAGAAGAGGGAGTGTTGAAGGGCCACTCCAGCTTTATCTGTCCCTTTTCATCAGGAAAAACTGCTTTCCTCAGAAATACCCCATCAGTCCTCTGCTTGGATCTCATTGACTAGACCTGGGTCACAAGGTCCCGCTGGCTGCAGAAGAGGTTGGGAAAGTGGGGACACAACTGCGCAGACCAAGGAGTTCGGTGGCACTCAGTGTAGTTTCTGAACCATCCGCATCACCTGGGAGCTTGCGATGAAACTCAGGAGGTGGAGCCCACGCATCTGTCTAAACAAGGCTCCAGGTGATTTGAGAAATGTTTGGCTTTGATCAATTATGATTTTACTCAGATGGGAAAATTGTGATTCATTGCATGGGCCACACTGACCCCCAAACAGAGCTGGGGTTTTGTTATGGAGAAAGAAGGGAGAGTTGAGCCTGGCTGAGCAAACAACACACTCACTTGGTGAGAAAACAATGCCCTCCCCCCGCCTTGCGTCCGTCACTGTCTCTGCGACAGCTCTCAAGGGCAGGTGTCCTTGTGTTCCTCCGTGAGGCCGCTGTCAGTCACTCCTCAGCTTTGCCTTTGGTGTCGCCCCTTGCAGCTCTGAGTGTGCGGTGGTCCAAAAGACACCGCTCTGCAGGGCGTGCCTCCCTGCCCACCAAGCACCCTGCAGCACCCTGTCTTGTTCAGGCAGAGCAGGCCCATGATCAGAAACAAGCACGGCCAACTGCCCTAGATTTCCCCAGACTGGGGAGGTTTTCAGGCCCATAGGACTTTTGTGCTAGAACCAGGAAGGTCCCGGGCAAACCAGGACTAGCTGGTCACCTAAGAAACCACTCTTGGACCCTCCCAACCCCCCAGCCAACTCCTCTTGCTCTGGGCAAAACAACCCCATGTGACAATGTGATTCTAGGACCCGTCTTTGGCCTGGCATTCTCACTAGCTGAAGCCGTCTCCATTGATGTATCAATCACTTGTTAACTTTGTTCAAAATGTGCTCTTTTAGGCACTATTATGCAACTATCAGTGCATCATGTCCAAGGGAGATGCCAAATAAATAAGAAACACAAGCCACATGCTCAAAGTCATTTAAATCCAATATAGTCCAATAAGCAAACAAGCATTCATTACCTTTTGTCCCATAAGTTATATTAGTCTCCCTCAGGAACTCACATTTTTGCAGGGAATATGGATGATATGGATGAGTGGGAATGTTTACAACATTATAACACTAGCCATTAAAATAACAATGGTTTCTGGCATTTGACGGTTTGCTCCATAATTATCACACCTTCTGCTTAGGACACAAGACAGAGGAGGCAGTAGGTGGAGAACCAAGTCCTACCTCTTGAGTCCTGAAGCTGGGCGTGGGGAGTGGTGCTCAGGAGGGCAGTGCCCTGGCTCCCTCGCTCGTGCTGAAGCCCAGGGTTAGCTAGACTCGCCCAGCTGGTCAAAGACTAGCCTGGCCCACACACACCTTCCACGTGGCAGCTGGGCCAGAAAAGCTCTTGGCCAGAGGGGCAGAGGAGAGGCCTCCTCCCCAAAGACTGACACCCTCAGAGAGAGGGCAGGACCAGCCTCCTGTGCCAGTCCTTTTCCAGCCCACACCACCTTGGATGTGGCAAGAGGCCACAGGTGTTGACGGCAGTGTCCCTCCTAGAAAAAGCCAGAATAGAGGGAGATGGTCGCCCCTCACCCCCAATACCAATAGCTGGCACTTTTTGAGAGGTTACAGTATGTCAGGCACTGTTCTGAGCTCTTTATAGAAGGTGGGTGCCGCTTCCCCTTTTACAGATGGGGTAACTGAGGCACACAGAGGCTAAGAGACGTGTCCAAGGACACTAAGACTGTGGTAGAGCTGGATTGTGGCCCTAAGCAGTCTGGCTCCGGGACACGTTCTCCCAAACTGCTGGGCACCTGCAGAAGGTTTAGAGAGGGCGCTAAGGAGAAAGCGCTTAGCGGGGCTGGGCTGGGGTGGAAAAGCTGCACAGAGGGCGAGCCTTGGAGCTGCACATCAAAGGTCGGTGAGGAGTGTTGGAGGAGCCGCCTTCCAGGCCGGGCACGTGCAGCCAGGCCAGGGCCGTTGCACAGGGAGGCAGTGCTTCCTGGCCTGAGGGCAGGAGGGGTCCCGACAGTGCTGCCTGCCGCAGTGCACCCTGGGCCTTGCTGCAGGACATGCCCAACTCCTAGCCCACTGCTGGCCACAGGCCAGCTGCAGTGCAGGTTCATTGCTTTTCCTGTCCCTTGACCTTTGGTGAGTGGGTGAGAGGTGAAAATATGGAATTTCTTTTCCTGGAAACTTATTCTGAGAAGAAACAAATCTAAGTGTCAGAAACAAGATTTTGCTAAGCTAACCATTAACCCCGTCTCCCTATTCCAAGCACGTTGGCACTTGATAGCATGCTGGATTCTGACTTTGGCTTGGCAGGGACACAACTCAACATAATTATCCTTCTTTGCATAAGTTTAATATACAAGGAACCAATTGTATGCATTCACTTCCCCACATCCTTGCCTCTGTTATGTGGTACACTGATCAATTCACTTCATCTTTCGTAAATAACGTGTCTTTCCTAGCTATTGGAAACTGGCTGTAATTCAATCTAATTCAAAAATATTTACCGAACACTATTATGTACCAGGAGTTGTGTGTGGCACAATATGGAGAAGAGTTCATTCCATCATTTCTTCAGCTAATGAGTATTCACTGGATACTGTGTATCAAACACTGTGCTCAGTGCAAAGGGTGCAATAGCAAAAAATAAACACGGCCCTTGACCTCAGGGAGCTTAGAGTCTGGTAAGGAAAAGTGAACATAATGAAATGTACAAATGCAAGTAAAATATGCACAACAATGCAGGTTGAGAGCAGTCCACAGGGCTGTGAGGGCTGTCCTAGGGAGCGGGACTCAGTCTGGAGGGCAGAGGACAGGCCAGGCCTGCAGGAGAGCCCTAAAGGCTGGGCGTGGGGTGGGGGAGGGGAGTGGTGGGGCCTCGCTCCCCGGGCAGGGGTTTGCACTTTCCACGGAGGGCAGTGGAGGGTCACTGGAGGGGAGTAAGCAGGGGAGGTGCAAGGCCATCCCCTAGTCACACGTATCCCAGCCTCAGAGGACATTGGGAGGCCACTGTAGTGGTCTAGGTGAGAGAAGATGGTGGGATGGAGCAGAGGGGTGGCCACGGGAGTGAGGCGAGGGACGCTGAAGAGGCAAAGTGGACCTAATGAGACGAAGGGCTGGATGTGGGTTGGGAGGGAAAGGGGTCCGGGAGGAGTCCCAGACTTGAGCGTGAGCAGTCGAATGTTGGTACCACTCATCTCAGGCTCTGCTTTGGATCTGCCACGTTCAAGGCGGTTTTGAAACCTTCAGGAGGAGCCGTGGGGTAGGCCTTGGTCTATACAGCCTCGAGGCTGGAGATGCCGTGGAGAGTCACGGGCAGTTAGATGGTGACCGATGCCACTGGAGCCCACAGGAAGAGAGTGGCTGAAGGACAGGGCTGGGCAGACTTGACTCCTGGCTGAGTGTGGACACGGCCCAGTGTGCAAAGGGGCTGAGGGCTGGGGCAGAATCCAGAGGGAGCACCGCCAGGGAAGCCTAGCGAGCATTTCAAAAAGGAGGGAGGAGCCAAGCAGAAGGAGGACAGGAAGGCGTCCACGCGGAACTTGTTGACCTGTCTTGGTGTCGGGAGGGCGTGGAAGCCAGACAGAGCGGAGTGGAGGGCTGGGAAGCAGGCACGGCTGGCCGGAGGGAGGGCGAGCGAGCGGCAGCGGTGTGCGTGCTGCCCACGGTGGAGGCGCGACCGGCCTTGCGCACCCTCGGGTGGAGCCTATGGCGGCAGATGCGGGGCGCGGTGGGACCCGGGCCGGAGCGCGGTGGGACCCGGGCCGGAGCGCGGTGGGACCAGGGCCTGAGCGAGGTGGGACCAGGGATGGAGCACGGTGGGACCAGGGCCCGAGCGCGGTGGGACCAGGGCAGGAGCGCGGTGGGACCAGGGATGGAGCGCGGTGGGACCAGGGATGGAGCGCGGTGGGACCAGGGCCTGAGCGCGGTGGGACCAGGGATGGAGCGCGGTGGGACCAGGGCCCGAGCGCGGTGGGACCCGGGATGGAGCGCGGTGGGACCAGGGCCCGAGCGCGGTGGGACCAGGGATGGAGCACGGTGGGACCAGGGATGGAGCGAGGTGGGACCAGGGCTGGAGCGCGGTGGGACCAGGGATGGAGCGCGGTGGGACCAGGGCAGGAGCGCGGTGGGACCAGGGATGGAGCGCGGTGGGACCATGGGACCAGGGCCGGAGCGCGGTGGGACCAGGGCCCGAGCGCGGTGGGACCAGGGCCCGAGCGCGGTGGGACCAGGGCCCGAGCGCGGTGGGACCAGGACCAGGGCCGGAGCGCGGGGCAGGCGCATAGGTTAGGATGTTCAAGAAGCAGTGCCAGATTGGCAAATTTGACTTGTTTTCTTTTTTTTTCTTTTGCAGTCAACTTTGACCATTTCCAGATTCTGCGGGCCATTGGCAAGGGGAGTTTTGGAAAGGTAAGAATGATGAGCTTTTAAAATATTCATGAACAAAATACAAAAGTTGAGCCCACTGGGCTTAAGCAGATGTGCATATTTGTGAGTCTGATTTTGTGTCGGTTGCTGGGCACTGGGAATTTCCTGCTTGACAGAGAGATTTCAATTTGACAAATTTGGAACACGAAAGGCAGGCTGAATAGTTTCCTTTGGATCTGGTGTAATTTTATTCTGAAAGTTAAATCACTAGAGCAGCCCTGGTTTAGGTGAATCACAATGGTAATTATTTCAAGATTGCTAATACCATTTCTTCCTTGAAAGTCTAAATGAGGAAAGTGGAAAAAACAACCCACAAACTCACCACAAAAGCAGCTCTTTCCAGCAACAGAGGCATTTGTTGTTCTGGAAGGTTCACATTTGTGATCCTTGATTGTCTTTGGTAAAAGGCTATAGAAAACTATGAGAAGAAGGCAGGGGTTTTTAGAAAACAAAAAGGTTCCCCCAACTAAGCCCCAGTATGTTCCAACTTAGAGATTTCCTTTGGCAAGAATTGTTTTGAGTGCCTATTGACTGCCAGATCTCCTCTAATGTTTTTCCAGAGCTACTATTATTTCCACTGTACAAAAATGGAAAAATGTAGATGCATAGCTCAGTCTCAGTAGCTCAGGAAGATGGAACAGTTTGCCTGTGCACAAGTGCCCAACTGGGAATGGAACCAAAGGCTGACCATGCACCTGCTGTTCCGGCAACCCAAAGTCTTGATTAAACCATTGAAAACTCATGGAGTTAAACTGAGACATTTGACCTAAGAAGTTGGATCACCTCAAACAACCTCCCTACTTTGATTAATCCACTCTCTGAATACTAACTGAATGCAAACTCTGTAGCAGGCACTATTTTAGACTGTCTTGATCAGTGGTAACCAAAGCAGACCCGTGTGCCTTTTCTCTTCCGTTTAGAAATGAGAGAGATAACAAATGTGCACGTTTATGGAACATTAGATGAGGATAAGTGTACTAAAAGCACAATACGGTAAGGGGGAAGTTGGGTTCTGTGGAGAATGGCCGACGTTGCTATTTTGCAGAGCTGAGTTGTCAATAGGGCAGCCACCAACCACATGTGGATATTTAAATTTAAATTAGTCAGCATCAAATGAAATGGCAACAATTCAGTTACTCAGTCGGACTAGCCACACCAGGAGTGCTCAGTAGCCACGTGTGGCCAGTGCCACCACCTTGGACAGCTCAGATTGTTATAGAACGTTTCCATCACATGGACGGTTGTACCAGACAGTGCTCTCAGTGATAAGGTGACATGAGACAAGGTGAGCAGAGACCCAGAGGCAGTGAAGGAGGAAGTCAGACCATCCCAGGCAAAGGGAACCGCAAGTGCAAGCACCATGGAAGGCAGTGTTCTTGGCGTTTTTGAGGAGCCTGCAGGCAGTGGGGGTGGGGGAAGACAGGGTCAGCAAAATCTGCAAGGACCAGACCATGGAGGACTTCATCAGCTGTGGTAGCAACTTTGGCTATTCCTAAGAGTGAGAAGGGAAGGAAGGCCCTGGGGAGTTCTGAGCGGAGGAGTAGCATGATGTTTGGAGAAGTCTTGCAGGTCCCTTCGGCTACCATGCTGGGAGCATCCTGGGAGGGGCCCAGGCAGAAGCAGGGAGGCCGGTGAGGAGAGGGACTGTGGCTTGGATCAGGGTGGCAGTGCTGGCAGTGGTGAGTGAGTCAGAGGTGGGATATATATTGAAGGTGTCACCAAATCAAGTGGTCCATGGGTAGGGGGAGTCTGCAGTAGCATATTGGGTCTCTGATGTCATCATGGTTTCTGTCTCTTTCCACCCACCCCCTCCAACCCGCTCAGTGGGATGAGATCTTTCTCCTCAGGCTTCTGACCTAATGGTGTTAAGGGGTTGCCAAGTTCTTCACACAACTGCTACTCACCTTTGTGACTTTGTCAGGGAAGAACATCCCTTCCAGAATCTGCCCAGTTGACGTCTCCTTCCATTTCATTGGCTATAATTAGTCACATGACTGCCTTAGCTGCTGAGGATGCTGGGAAAATAAATATCTTCAGTTTTCAGCCTGTAGTTGGGAGGTCTGTCTTCTAGTAGAGAAGGGCAGGAGAACAGCTTGTGCGGGACACAAAAGTGCAAACTATATATCCAATAAAGGATACTGGGGATGTCCAGTATGGGATGCCCAGTATTTGCAAACTATACAGAGACCTCAAATCAGCAAGATAAAAACAAATAACCCCATTAAACAGTGGGCAAAAGACATGAACAGGAGCTTTTCTAAAGAAGATGGACAAATGGCCAACCAACATATGAAAAGATGCTCCACATCACTAATCATCAAGGAAATGCAAATTAAAACCACAATGAGATATCACCCTACCCCTGTCAGAGTGGTTATTATTAAAAAGGCCAAAAATAATAGATACAGAGAGAAAGGAACACTTATGCACTGATGGAGGGACTGCAAATTAGTACAACCTTTATGGAATACATTATGGAGATTTCTCAAAGAACTAAAAGTAGACCTACTGTTCGGTCCCACAATCTCACTACTGGGTATTTATCCAAAGGAATAGAAGTCATTTTATCAAAAAGACACCTGCACTATAATGTTTATTGCAGCACAATTTACAATTGAAAAAATCAATTCATTAATGGATTAACAAAATGTGGCCTATATATACCAGGGAGTACTACTCAGCCATAAAAATGATGAAATAATACCTTTTGCAACAATCTGGATGGAACTGGAGACCATTATCCTAAGTAAGATATCTCAAGAATGGACAAACAAACACCAAATGTACTTTCTAATAATTTGAAACTAATCAATAGGCACAGGGAGAAGTAAAAGCCATTGGAAATTGAGCAGGAGGGAGGGAGAGGAGGGGAGAGGTAAAAACCTACTGAAAAGATACAATGAACACTATTTGGGTGATGGCCCATTTATAGGTCTGACTAAAGCATTATAAAAACTATCTATGTAACAAAAACATTTGTATGCCCTTAATATTTTGAAATTAAAAAAGAAGCTGTGATGCCCTTGCTGTAGAGGGCAGGGTTGACTGCATGCTCATATGGTTTTTTTTCTATCACTTTAGTATTAAAATTTTTAAGCATATAATGAAGTTGGAAAAAATTTACAATAAACACCCATGTCTACCACTTATATGCTATTAATACAATAGCATGTTACCAAACTTATTTTATGAAATGCCTATTCTTCTACCCATCCATCAATTCATTTTATTTTTTAATACATTTCATAGTAAATTGAAAATATCTGTACACTTCCCCCTAAATGTGTAAGCATAGAGATCTGCCTATAGTTTTTCTTTTGATGTAAAATGTACACACCCAAATGCACAAATCTTAAGTTTATATTTGTTGAGTTTTAAGAAATGCATGCACCTGGGTAACCTAACACCCTACCAAAATATAGAATATCACCACCATCCAAAAGTCCCCTCTTCACTCTTCCCAGTCAAAATATACCCCTAATGCTGCCACTGTATTCAGTATAGATTAGATTTGCCTGCCCTAAAATTTAATATAAAATGGAATCATTACAGTAAGTACTCTTTTCTTTAAAGCTTCATAATGTTTTGCATTTTACATAATATTTTTGTGCATAATGCTTTTGAGATTCATCCATGTTGCTGTATATTTTTCTCTTCTTACTGATGAACAGTATTCCATTTCATTAATATATCATAGTTTGCTAATCCATTTTCATCAAGATAAACTCCAGGATTATTTCTAGTTCCGAATATTTTGTATAGTAAAGTTGCTATGAAAATCTGTGAGGAAGTCTTTTTCTGTAGACATATGATTTCATTTCTTTTGGGTGAATATCTAGGATTGGAACTACTGGATCATAGAATAGATATCATTTAGTTTTATGTAAAACTTCCATTTTTTTCTCCTACTAAGAGTTTCCTTGTTTCATATCCTTGCCAACATGGTGCTATCAATATTTTTAATTTTAGTTGGTTCTGATGAGTGTTTTGTAGTATCTCAGTGTGGTTTTATCTCATGTTTACCTGATGACTCATGACAATAATTTTTTTTTTCATGTGCTTAATGGCTAGTTGTGTCTTCTTTTGTGAACTGCCTGTTTAAAACTTTTTGTATATTTTTTAAAAAATGGGCTTTTGTCTTTTTTTATCACTGAACTGTGGGATATATATCTAAATACCAGTGCTTTATCATATCATATATGAGAATTTCAACCAGACTAATTTGGCTATTAATTTTATTAGTGGTATGTTTTGATGCATGGAAGTTTTAAATTTTGGTGAAGTATAATTTGTGGAGTGTTTTGCTTTTTAAAGGCCTTGTTTTGTGTAAATTGCACATGAAAACTTGGCTCAAGAGAGTGTACTGAAGTCACAGAGCTATTTTCTTATGTTTCCTTTCTAAAAGTTTTACAGCTTAGCTTATAGATAGATAGGTTTAGTTCTGTGTTTCATCTTAAATTATTTTCTTGTATGATGGGAGGTAGGCTCAAGATTCATTTTTCCCCACATATGGATATGTATTTCTTGAAAAGGCTTTTCTTTGTTGATCAGATTGCTTTGGTGTCCATGTGAAAACTCAGATAACTTGTGTAAATGGGAGGTCTTCTTCTGGGCTCTTTATTCTGTTCATTTTATGCACTTGTAAATATTTATGCAAGTACCAGACTATCTTAATTACTGCATGTTTCTAATAAGTCTTGAAGTCAGGTAATATCATCCTTCATTTATTATTTTTGAAGATTGTTTTGAATACTGTAGGTCATTGAATTTTCATAGATATTTCACCTATCAACTTCTACAAAAAACTGATAGAATTATAATTGGTATTACACTACATCTATATATCAATTTGGAATTATTGACATCTTTTTTTTAATTTCAGCATATTATGTGGGTACAAATGTTAAGGTTATGTATATTGCCCTTGTCCCTCCTCCCCCCTAGAGTCAGAGCTTCATACGTGTCCATCCCCTAGATGGTGT